CGGATTTCAACGCGAAAAAAAAACTCGACGGACGCATTCCAAATGAGTCACAGAGACGAGCGCTCTGGTTTCTGGCTTCCCCCATCCATTCTCACGGAGCACGCTCGCATCCAGCCATCCATTCTCACAGAGCAATCTAACGGTGAGATATTCCCGACAGCTCGAGACAAACAACGATGCTCACGCACCATTCTCTCTCTCTCTCGCGTGTTTAAATTGCGAGGCAGAGAACGAGATAGGAGAAGAAAATAGTGACGCACGTGCGAAGCATGTCGAAGCAGCGCCCAGGAACCACGGCGAATAAAATGCACGACGAGGAATCGCGGCGCTGGTTCCCTCAACCTCAAACCTCCAGCTCGAACCTCCATCGTTCGCTTCCAGACAGCGAAGGCAATGAGAAACCAGACGGTGAATTCCTTCGCCCAGCACGCACGAAAGTGCATCCTTCGACGAGCCTCCTCTCCGAGACGGCTCATCGAACCCAGCGATGGCCAACACGAACCGACAACCTCTGAACGCGATCGATTCCGCTTCCATTTCTTCGGCTATTCTCCCATCGAACGAGGAGAAATCTCGAGAAACTTCTTCGCTGAAGCGAGTGCCGCGATCGGGCCAGGCAGACGAAGCCGTCTTCATCGTGAAAAAAAACCGTATGGCTCACCGAAGAATGCTCTCCCGATTCCCGTGCCATTCAATCAACTTTCTATAATCGGGGGTCAGGAGACCGACGGTCACCGCGCTCGAGGCGCGCCTCACGCACATTCCAAGAAACTTCCTCTTCGAGGCGTTCGGGACAAAGTACAAGAACAAAACTTGGCTTCGGCGGTATCTCTCGAGTCTTCGTCGGGTTTAAAGAAATGAGAACTGCACAAAATTCATTACTAGCGCTGTACCGATGGCCGATTTTAGCAGGAAAATCGAGAAGTAACACGAAAAAGCACGCTAATTCACTTAGACCAAGCGATTCTTCTCAGGGAACCCCCTAAAAACAGTAGAGGCCAATTTTAGGACTGTCTGTGCGTCCGTCAGTGGTTAGCTCGTAACCAATTGCTACTGTTAAGAGCGTTAACCGACACATCTATGGCAACAAAAAAAAGAGGGACGATGATTTCCAGTTCTTTACCGCTCTTTTCCTCTGCCAGTTCCTAGATTAGGGTTGAAATATAATCTGATCGATATCTTTCGGTACAGCCTTAATTATAATACGGCACTAAGTGCCCCACCCCCTCACATGGGGGGGAGGATTTGGGAATTAAAATTAAATTTAGCACCATTTTAAAGCTAGGATATGCAGTGATCAATTTCAATAGTTACGTTACCACAGTAATTTTTAGAGTTATTTTTGTTTCAGACTGCAATTCTTGCCCAGTTTTGAACTGCAAAAATCCAAATTCGGAATTGCACAATAAAACATGCCCTGCCCTACCTCATTCGATTAGAAACTTCTCCTCAAAGGGTGAAATCTGAGATGAATTACTTTTGGAAAAATTTTTTTGGAAAGCGAAGGAATTCCTTCAAATACCAGATCAGTCGTGTCCTTCGGGAAAGCAATTATATTGCGTTTCCTTCGAGCACCTTGTGCAGGGGCAATTCAGGTTAAAAAAAAAAAACAGATTTAAGAAACATTGCCGAGGTATGCAACTACAACAAGAACCAAGTTACGAGATAATCCATTACCGGCATAGAAAACGACATGAGGCTCGATCCAGATCCATTTTGGGGTAAAACTCTCTCGAGATAAAACGAATATTACACCTGGCATTGTTCTTCCACCGTAGGGCAAAATTCTCACACCTGACATTCCTCCAAAGATTGCCCTTCTCAGGTTACGAAGCCAGTGACACGACATGATTCGTGGTCAGGCACCTGACCTAACCCGAAATGACTGAACTTTTTCAAATTTCTCATCTTTGAACAAAAGTTGAAAGTTTGGGAGTGAAGCTGAAGCGATTCCTTTTCATCAAATTTTGTCTGAGGAAGAAGCTGGTCTTAGCTGAGACCTTAGAATCCTATTTTCAAGCAAAGCAAATCGATAAGAAAACCCTCAATAATTTCATCAGAGAATCATGAAAACCAGAAAGGAAAATCATCCCAGCACAGCCCACGAGAAGGTCGGCGGCAGCCTTTGGGGCTTCCACAGGCAGTCCAAAGGATTAAGGCGTGCGCTCATCGTGTATAACCACGCGAGGTAGGAGAGGGCTGGGGAGACCTCATCGCGACATCTCAAACCGGTTCCCTTTTTATTCAGGGGAGATTCATCCAGATCGCATAATGAACAATCGGGATGGATATATGGACAGACAAAAGAAATTGCAAGCAATACACACGGATTGGAAACGTAGAGGAGAAAGTGAAAGAATGCAAGAAACCGAGCTGCTGCTGCTGTCTCGAGCAGAACTTCATTTTTGCAAACCGAACGGATCGATCTTGACGATCTGCAAAGAGTAAGAATGACCATCCACTTTCAAAGCATCCAAACATTTCAATCATGATCTAGCTGCTAAATGATCACCGACCTCTTGAACGGGTTCGCCCTCCACGACGGGTCCGAACGTGAAGTATCTGCCGAAACGAGAGGACCCGAGGATGGATACCAGGTCCGAGCTGAGATTTTTTGCAACTCCAGTCTAAAGGAAGGCAAAAACAATGCAAACCAAATGGCACAGACTCACATAGGATCATACCTCTAAGTGCAAGGGAAGAGGAAAATCAAATTCAAGAATTGCCAATGCAAACACATTCCAAAGCATAGAGTGCAATACTTTCCCAGAGGGCACAAGCCACAATATGCCACCATACTTCATCACTTGGCCTCGGGTGGTGACAATGAGGTGAGTTTAGATGGAATACGGTGGATGCAATGATGAAAATTCATGGATATTGCTAACACCATTGAAATGAAGGGCATTCTTTTTGAACAACCTGAACAGGATATCATCATGCCTCGAGATGCCCAGTAATTAGTGAATACGTTGGATGACTGCAAAATGCCAAAATTCTCTTTACCTTGAAGAAGAGGTCATGGGCAAAGTGAAGGGCATCTGGAGAATGAGGAAGATTCCCGTCATACACGGCAGCCATGGTGGTCGAGGCCCTCTTGCCCTCCGGCTTGAACATGCGGTACGTGACCGACACATACCGCAGGCCCTCGGGCAGGTCCTTCACTGTTCGACGACAATGCAGAGCTTTATTGCAGGTAAAATATCATTTTAGCCAGTTGAGCAAATGCTGTAAGTTTTTTAGGCATTAGAGCTCACTTAAAACCATTTCAACATAGCTGATGCATGTCAACAGTCAGGCATTTCAAGGTACCAAGAGACTCATCAAACACAAACATGATCACCTGGTATGCAGGTTATTACCCTTGCTAGCCCATGACTTATATTAAAACTTAACAGTGCTGTCATTAGAGGGGACACAGTATTACCACAGCACAATTTGTGATGGCTTACATTATACGCATGCAGGATGAGCATTTCACAAAACCATGCAACAATCATGCCAGGATCCTGTGAATCTGAGACCGAAACCGTACGATTGAGACGCTGCAGAGCCTCTTCGGACACGTGGATGGGCAGGACCTCCTTGATAAGGGGAGGCCAGAAGCCCAATTCCTGGCAGATTGTGTGCAAGTCTTCCCACCACAATGCTCCTCCCAATCCTTCACCCCACAGGACCTTGTCTCGCTTCAGTTCTTCAGGGACACGGAGACTAGCATACATGTCGCTGAAGAACAGCTCTCCTCCACTCTGTAATGGATGGAATGTTCCATTATGTTCATCATATAAGAATGATAACCTGTGGACTGTCTCTCTTAGCTCAGAGCACTCTTTAATGATGATTTGATGATAGACATGTTGTATCAGCTGAGAGATGAGAAGACAAAAAGGAAAAATCTACCTTAGCATTTCACCTTCAGGATATTACCACTCAGCACGGAGTTTGAAAATTTGAAACTGTAATGCTTTTCCACAGGCAAATATGAAATAATAATAATAATAATATTTGTGGAAAATCTCACCTGTCTCATTGGACCAAAATAAACTCAGTACAACATGCAAAAATATTTCAAGGCTGCCATGCAAGCAAGGGACATTTCTCTCTCTTCACCTTGAGATGAGCAAGTGCTTGTGTGAAGACACTCTTCTTGTCAGGACATAGGTTGATGACACAATTGGACCTGTCAAGCACAATGTCAATGATTGCCATTAGTCAAGAGAGAATGATGACTGGGAGGATGTTCAACTCACACAATAACATCAAAAAAGTTATTTTCCAAATCAGCTCCTCCCAAATCCTCCAAATAGCCCAACTTGAATGCCACATTGGGGGAAGCAAAGCCAAATTTCTCCATGTGATAATTGATGTACTTCTCTGCCTTTTCAAGCTGAAGCAAGACCATTTGATGTCCTGGAAGTTTGAAGACAATTTAGTCACACCCTTGATCATCTTACCTGCTCTGGTGTCATGTCGACCCCTACGATCATCCCCTGTTCCCCAACCAGCTGACTCAAGACGAACGAGTCCCTCCCGCTTCCACATCCCAGGTCCAAGATCTTGCTCCCTTCCAGGCCCTCTGGGAATGGTGTCCCACATCCGTAGTACCTGTACCATTATGACTACATTGACTTTTCCCATTACAACCTACGTCATTATGACGTTACGAATTCACCAGGGAGAAAAATTCATAGCAAACATCAAGATGGGGGACTCACGTGGCCAAAATGTCATCATGAACGTTTCCCAGGCACTTTTTGACATGAGGAGGCACCTTGGAAGCCTTGTCAGCAGTACAAACAGAAAGTTTCATATCACTTTGGCACTGGATATCCTTTCCATAGTACTCCTTCACATACTCATGCCTTTGGTTTCCTTCCATGCTCTAGGGTAGGAGAGAATCTCTTTACACAGGGATGTAAAATGGACTACTTCACCCTCACCCACTGTAGGCATAAGATATGTAGTGTTGCTAGTCAAGTCTGACAAGAGCCAGATGGCCTTTCTAAACAAGACCATGACATCAATGTCATCATCGAGTCATCACGTTGGGAGTACTGCAAGATGCACCAATTAGTGTCAAAATTCTTTAATCTGAAAGCTGAGCAAACAGATACATTTGAGGTACAAGTAGATCAGGGTTATAGTGTTGCATGGCAGGAAATCACACTCGTTTGGCAGGAGTCCTCTTCCCCTTCTTGGCTCCAGATTTTCCTTTCTTCTTTGAGACAGGATCATCATCCTCATCCTCCTCATCACCTTTCTTGCCTCGCTTCCTCCTTCCTCCTCCTCCCCCTCCCCCTCCTCTTCCACTCCCTCCACCACCCATACGACTGCGGAACTTTGCCAACTTCTCCTTGACCACTTCATGCTTTCCAACGTTCTTCCAGATTACTAAATGCTGACCTGCATATGAAAAAGGTATGAAACAGGAATGAAAATAGAATAATTTATTTCATTACCTGCCATGTAGAAGACATCTCATCACCATAAAAAATTCCAGACCAAGGTAATTAGAATAATGAAATATTATTCATCTCCATGCTGACTCTGATCACAACATTTTCCAGTTTTGTCGAGTTGCGAACACCGAATTTCCACTCTACCAAATGTTAAATTCAGCAAATTCAACGCCATTTTGTTATAATAAAACTATGGAGGCAGTAGCTGAATAGAGCCTGCCTGTACAGTTGGAAGGAATGTAAAAAAAAGTTTAACAATGAGTGTCTACTTTCATCACTTCAGTCTTTATAACTGTGAAGAGAACATAAAATAAGGAACTACCAGTATCCAACCTCCCTCCTAAGAACCAAAAGACCCATGGTTTACCCCACAATTGAGTGCCCAAATAGGGCACTATGTTGATTAATGTCTAATTCCCTGCCTGTCAGCCTTCTCCCCTTTCACCACAACATGAAACTTTTCCATTTGGTACAATTTCACTGAGACAAAGTGCAAGGATTATCCTAGCAGCTGTTATTCGGTAAATTTCACCTGGTAAAACCCAAATGAATTCTTTAAATTATGCATACTTTTGTGTTGATGAGAATAAGTCTGGCCCAAAAGGCTGACATGAGCAAATAAAATCGGCAGTAATGTCTACTTTTGTTCTGAACTTCACCAAACTGATCTCAGCCTATATCTTGCCCAAATGTCCATATATTTATATCCTGTGCAATACTCTCAACACAAACTCAAGCATTTCATTTTGTTGTCATGAGCAACACAGTAAGGTGACAAAGGGAGATGCTCTTCTTAGCATAACACTTAGATCTCAGCAGAAGGCCACAGGAATTCTGATAGAAGATTCTACTGCTGTACATTTCTCAATGCCATCATGAATGATTTGTGAAGCATTTTAGCCCCATTTTTTCTGAAGATACAAGTTCTCTTCATTACACAAATTATGGATGTGAACCAATTACATGCTGCACTGATCACCTAATGCCTGGAAACATGCAGCAGCTAAACCTGCTGGAGTCAACACTTCACCATCATGACGACTCTGAATTTTGTCTGACTTCTCCACTGAGCAAAGCATGAATCAAGCTTCCTGGCAATGTTGAAAAATGAACCTTAAAGTCAATGCTAAACATTCAGACCTTTTAAATTTTGCTGAAATAGGATTCATATTTTTTGGTGAACCCTACAGAAGCCAGAGCATGTAGTAATTATATATGTATCCCCAATAAGAATGCTTGAAGCAAGCCTACAAGTTACACCAAACCAAGTCATATCCTCATCAAAATGAACAACAGGCAATTTCCATGAGCATCTCTAAAAGAAATGCGGTAATCAAGGATCTTTACCCATGCCAGAGACAAGAGCTTCTCCATTTGAATTGAAGTAGTTCAAGCTGAGGATGCCACTGACACCAGGATCCACCACAGCAGCGCTCCGTTCTCCAGTCTCGGCTCGGAACACGTCAACACTCCTCCGCTCTCCTTGGATGAAGCCAGGAAAATTTGGATCTGGGTAGCGTCCCACAATCACAAGATCTGCTAGTGGGTGCCAGGAGGCCTGCAATATCAAGAGGAAAGTTAGAAATGCATCAAAAACAGAGGGACCCTTCCTTCATTGCTTAAAACTATATAAGGACCTTGATGGGAGTGAGATGCTGGAATTGTCTATGAGGATGAAGGATGATTCTCTCTTGAACATATGAATTGCCTTTGTATATTCTAATCTGGCTGTGCTGGTCTGTTGTCAGCAATCGATCACCCCTCTGATGACTGGAGAATGAAACCAATACATTTTTTAGTTCCCTGGACACTTTGCATAGGCAGTATAAGTGAATCTGATCCTGATAGTTAAAAAGACAAGAGAATCAACTCACCTGAAATATGCAGAATTGACAGGCTTGTCATGCTGAAGTGTGTGAAGAGGGATTTTGGGATCCATCTTTCGAATATCCCAAACTTTGACAGTGGCATCAACAGAGGCAGTCACAAATTCCCAAGGTGTTCTGTATTAGGGTTAAAAAATTCACACAAGAATGAACTCATTTTTAAATCTCACAAATTCACCCTGTGCCTACTATTGTGGAGTCCAGCTAGACTACCTTGCCATAATTTCTTATCAATTCAGAACTCTTCTAAACATGAAGTCCAATATCTACCTGGCTCTCTTACTGAATATTGAAGACTTCAGTTCAAATCATAACACATGCAATTACAATATGCATTTGGTCATAAATTTAGACTTCTAATGCAAATGAAGAAAACTATCAGTTTTTGTTCATATCTAGGCAATTCCAATTCAAGGTTCAACATGAAGTCTATTCAACATTAAGTTAAATCTTATGTCTTCATATAAACTATCCAAAAAACAGTAAGCAAATCGTGAAAACCAGCAACTCAGCTTATTAGCCAGTTGGCAATAGTACCCATTTCCTGAAAAAAAAAATTTTTCCTAAGAAAAAAATTATTAGTTGATGGTTCTTACTTGAAATTACTTCTTTAACTATCACCACATCACAATTAGACTTCAAAAAGCTCCACTTCATTGCTATGACCTGCTATTTCAACCACACTTCTCAATCATATATAAAATGGAGTAAAATTTGACATTTTTTCTTGATTTTATCTCTATCACAATCATCCACACTGAAAATTTGTTTTAGATAGATTGATATCACTCATGATTCACCTTCTATGATTAGCTATTTACCTATGATACAATGAGATAGGTAATTTCTTAAACTCTATTACAGCTTCATGAATATCCAGTACTAGGGGGGTTCAAATGAAAAGGGGACAAAGGGTGTTACTCATAGCCTAGGTGTAACCTAAAGGTAGCCTAAGGTAAGAGACTAAAAGTCCCCTTTTCAAATGAACACCCAGAGTATATGGCAATGTCTCCCTCCTACATCTTTTGGCCATCCAAGCTTTGGCTGTTTGAAGGTATAAAGAATAAGGCAAATGAGTCATTTAACACTACAAGACTGAAAGGATGGATATTCCTGTGAGTTAAAGCATTAAAACATTTGAACCTGTGAATGTAGCATGCGAGTCACTAGCTGTTCCTTTGGTGCATTAATCATGGAAAATCTGAGAATTGCTCATTCAGCTGCTACAGTATCATGAATCATGAATGAGGTCATTAGGGTGAAAAAGATTCTCTTGCAGCAGCATTCAATATTTAAGTTGATGAAGGTTTTTGTTTATCCATAACATTCAAGAATTTTAGCAGATTTTAGCAGTCATTTTAGGTGAAGAGGAAGGATGGGATAGGGTTGCTGTTGTTGAAATTGCAGTTACTATATAGACATGAGCTTATGCTGGATCTAGAGGAAAGGTAGGTCTCAATTGGTCTCAATGATACTGCTCCATCATCAAGCTGTGCCTGTTGTCTATGGATAAGTCAGTACTGGTTACTTGTTTGAGTCAGAAAAAGCAGGAATTCTGCCATTCCATACGTAGAATTCTTACTGAACATTATAGCATTGCAGTCATGAAAGAGCAGCAGGGAGCAACAGGAGTCTGTGAGGACACAACACCAATGCTGAAATTTAAAAATGCTACAATAAATGCAACATAAAATAATAATGTAACTTACCTTGGGGATAACTCAACATGGGTGATCTTTGAACTGTGAAGTTTGATCTTTCCATGATCATTGGAAGTCAACAAGTCGAGTGGAAACTGGTAAAGGAAGCCCTGGTTATCACCGGCAAGAAGGACATTGTGCAATTGGCTTTTGTCCAGGGCTGTGAACCAGTGCCTGTATCAGAAGGCACATTTTGTTTGTTGTTTTTGCTTTCAAGCAGACATGGGCATGGCAAAAGGTGATCATGACCTACACCATGAAGTTGGGTGTTTCATGGATGGTAGAATTTGCATGGCCCTCAAAGTCCTTCACAGATACTGTGCCATCTATGGAGGCTGTATAGATCTGCTTAGTGTTCCTATCTGAAAACTTCATAGCCTGAATCGACCCTCCTGGTCCCATCTGCAACATAAAATAAAGCAAGAGTGTGAATCGATATGGCAGTGAGAATAAAAGATTTCAGTTGATAGGCTTACACCATGGATAAAGTCATCATGTTCTCCCTTTTCAATATTCCAGAGAACAATATCACCATTCTTGGAGGCTGCTGCAAAGGTGGCCTTATGGTCAGGATGCCAAGCTATTGCAGTCACTCGGCGATCAAATGGGGATGCCAATTTGTACATGGAGAACTCCTTCAAATCAGACAGAATGCAGACTTCTGCAGCCTAGAAAGACAAAAAAAAGATGCATCAATAAAAGCTCTTTAAACGCACACCTACTAAGTCTAAAGAAATTCAGAACTGACCACACGGATTCTATCACTAGGATATTGTCCTCTGTTCAACAGATCAAGGGAGTGAATGAGATCTTTGGGCTTTGGAGCAAGGGCTTTTTGGCTTTCCATAGATATCTTGGAGATACGCTTGAGGTACTTCTTGAGGTTCAACTTCCGGGTTTCCTGCGCCTTGCGCATCAGTTTGTACCTTTTCTTCATGACGATTTCTTTCATGAAATCACTGTCTTCGGCCTCTTCATCATCTTCTGAGGGTTCTGAGGCATCATCTTCATCTTCATCTTCTTCTGTAGGTTCTGAAACATCAACATCCCCTTCTTCCTCTTCCTTATCCTCTGTCTCCATGTTCTCCTTGCTTGCATTGACTCTTGCTCTAGTCTGCCTTGAACTCATCTAGAATATTCTTTTGGAGCAACTCCAATTGGAGACCTGAAACATTAGTAAATAATAAGTTCAGTGACATAGTGAAAATGGAATGACTACCATCCCAGAGGCAGCCAGACAGCCCTCACTATTAGCCAATAGAAATATCAAGTTAGGCCTATATGAAATGAAATGACTACAGCCATGTCATTGTACCCACTAATCTCTAAGCGTTCCTGCCATGTGCCCCTTAATAATAAAAAGCTGGCAGCCTACATAGTAGCAAGCAACTCAAACGTCAATCCTGAAGGGTGTATATTTTATCCTCACCCTTGAGGCTAACCCACCCCTTTTTTTCCCCATGCACTTAAATTAAGTTTCGTGTGGTTTGAAAGCCCAATAATGTCATACAATCAAAACTCTTGTGGGCGCAGGACAAAAAAAAAAATAACCAGAGATGGAGGAAGGGGATCGCTCTGAATATAACAAGGGCTTTAGCTGCCTAGGCGAGAGCTGGAACTACGGCAGTCCTGGGTACAGTATAGGCTATCCAGTCGTTACGTAACAAGATGCCCAGGCTCATGGCCTCGGTTAGTACATCACAAATTTTTATAAGCACAATTTTCGAATGAATACGACTTGCACCGGCCTGAGCCTTACACACGAACTGGCCAGCACGGAGTCACATGCCACCCCAAAACCCTCACCAATTCCAAACTCCTCGAGTAGGCCTTGGGTTTTCTGTCGTTCTACGGCGGGAGCACATGGATGCAAATAGTAATGGCGGGAACCATGCTTACCAACCCTTGGAAAGGGCTTTCCTGATTGGTGGACGAGTGAGCGGCGAAAGAGGGCGCCACTCCATAATAAACACCACGTGACTTGGAAAAATCCATAGTATTTTCAGATTGACTGTTGTACAATTACACCCGCTACCCCTGCGTAGGCCTCAATGGGGCTAGAGACGCCGAGTGATTACAATAATCATTTACAGCGAAGGGGAATATCGACTGGTGGGGCTCATGGAGCGAAGCCCCTTCCTGGGTGAGGGAATTGCTTCACACAACTCGAAGGTGATTGGCCCTTGGGAAAGTATGAAGCTCTGGGTGAAATTGTTTGAAAAGTGAATTTGAAAACATTGTTAACTGATCTATGAGAATCAAAGGACCCGATATATCTCAAAACTTGAGGGTTGGGTTCAGGAAGCAATGACTTTTCAAAGCAATTTCACAGGTGGGTGTGCTTGAGGTATTAGGTTTGCTTCTTGAATTTCTCCTCAAAGAAAACATGAAATTTAAAAAAATATGTAATAGGAGGGTGAGCATTTCCTGTTTTTGCAACAGGGTCCTGTGCAAGGCAGGCTTCCCCAGCTTTAAACAGCTTAAATGTCACAGTGGAAGTCATGGGCTAAAGCAGTGAGAAATAAAAACTTTTGAATATTCTCAACTGAGAGTAATTGAACAGGGGAAAAAATGCAAATGAATCAAGCATCCTATTCCAATCATGATTTTATTTTATCCTGCTCCTTGCAGATCGATTCAACAGTGGCAAGCATGACTAACATGAGCAATCCTCCCAAAAATTTCATCATCAATTCAGCAGAAGGAGGGTGTCGTCTCTGTCCCGGAATGATCAGATCAACAGCACGAGGTAACAATCTATTGCATTGTCATGGCTCTCGACCAATATCATCTCACGAGCATTATATCACAACTGACCTTGGAAACAAACAAAAAAAAAAACAGATCATACTGTACAGCTATGGCATTTCGATGACTAAGTTCTGTTTGAAAAAAATTCTTGTCCAGAAAAAAAAATGTACAGTTTGGCTGCATGAGAGCCTGATCGAGACTGGATCGACGAGAGACGACCTACAACTGAGAAAATTATTGCTAGGCGCATCACAATCCGAAGCAATTCCAAAAACATGCCACTAAATGCCTTCTAAAATGCATCCTCAGTTCACATACACTCATTCAGCAAAAAACTGGCAAGACCTACAATAATACTGCCGACTGCAGATCGATAAAAAAAAAAAATTTCATCAGATGAGGGGCTGCCTGAGCATAATACCTGAAGCGATTGCTACTTTTCGGCATGAGCATTGCCGTATGATAGAAATCTGGGAAACAATGTCTCTAAAAAATATCATCCTTGCATAGGAGCATGCTAACACAAGACTTTGATTATAATCTGTCGTAGAGAGGCATTCTGCATCAGTGGAGGTAGTTGGGAGATGTCGACCCGCACCGAGTCCGGGGCAAGGTTCACTCGAGTTCCCTTCCCTGAAGAGTCCAAAGTTTGAGGAAATTGGGATCATTTGGAGGTAGAGTTTCGAGCATTGAAAAGCCCTGAGCATGAGGTTCACTGGATTTCATGAAATGTGATCAAGGCCTCGGGACGAAGCTTCTCTTCGATGTCTCGCCAGAAAGGGAATACTGAAGGGATTTCCCTGAGATTCATTATTTGACAGGATCTGCAAGGATCCCCAATACTGTTCTACTCGTAAAAGGGCGGCTTTCGATGCACGTCCTCGTGCTTCGTCATGTGGTCCTTGCGGATGAACTTCTTCCCACACGTCAAGCACGTGAAGGGGCGTTCGCCTGTGTGCAGGCACAGGTGCCGCCGAAGGTCCGTCTTGTGGTTGAACTGCTTGGGGCACTGCTGACACTTGAAAGGTTTGTCGCCGTTGTGCGCTGCCATGTGCTCCACGTGAATGGCTTCGCTGGACGATCTCTTGCTGCAGATTCCGCAGACGAAGAGTTGGTCTCCGGGCGAAGGCGGGAGGTCGAGCGTCTCTGGGGTCTGCGACACGCTCTGCATCTGCGGCTGATACTGAGGCTGTGGTTCCGGCATGGGGGACAGGGGGACGCCCCGAAATGGCTGCTGTGGTGGGATCAGTGGAGGGGGAGCATCTGGCATCTGGGGTGGTGGGGGCTGATACTGCATGGGGCGGGGCTGAAACATCGGCTGGTGCTGCTGCATCATGCCGACGTGTTGAAAGTGCTGCTGCTGGTTCTGCTGGTACTGAGGCATCATCCCGGGTAGAGGCTGGGCGACCGGGTAGGTACGCTGGCCGAAATGCTGCATGCCTGGTGCACTCGAAGGACCTAAGGGAACCTCTTGGGATGATTGATACAGCTGGGCGGTGGGCGGATTGTACATCCCGTTCGGCGTGGTGGGTGGGGTGAAGAAGGCCTTGACTGGTTGAGGAGAAGCGCATGGGACGGGGGACTGCCGAGCCGGAGACGGCTGCACTTGGTACATCCGATTCGGGAAAGCGTTGCTCTGGGGTTCGGGGGTGACCGAACCGAGAGGGGCGGGGGGTGGCATGGATTCGTTGCTCATCGAGGTCGAAGAGGGTCTCTCCAGCTTCGGCGAAGGGGAGAGGAGTTCGTGCTTCTCCTCGACCCGACCGTTGGACATTATGGGCTGCAGCTCTCGGAAGGCTAACCGAGGTGGCGAGGTCGGACAGTCGTCGAAGCGTGGGACCTGTCCCGGAGCACTCGTGATCAACTTGGGGTCGTTGGGGATGTAGTCGTCTGAGGATAGCGAGATCCGTGGATAACCGCAACTCACATTTTCACCGATGGAATTTGGCACATGGGGAGGTGGTGGAGGCGATGAGTCACTGGAAGAGTTGTCCAACGAGGGCACCTTACTTGGAGGACAGTCCGAACTGTCGGTTCCCTGAGCTATGGCGGACAGACGGTTCTTGTGTGCAGCAGTCGTAAGGTGGCGGTTGAGGTGTCCCTTCCGGATGAAGTGCTTGTCGCAGACGGTGCAGGCGAAGGGGCGGAGACGCTTGTCGTCTTTTGGGTTGTAGTCGGGGCTGCTGGGGCTCTGAGCCCAGTCGCTCTCGCCGTCGTCGGAGGTTTTCATGTAAGTCGACCTGGCGGTTGAGGTAGCTGCATATTCAGGTACACAGTTGGGTCCTGCGGAAGGAGGTAGGGTGAGGTTTCCGTTGGGTCGGGGGCCTGAGCCGTACCATTGCGACTGAAAAGCGTCTGGCATGTTGCTCGGGCGCAGAGGAGCCTGCTGATATATTGGGCTGCCTGACATCTGCTGCAAAGAACTGAGGGGTCCCTGAGATGGGTTGCTAAATGTGGAATTTCCATAGGAACTGTAATAAGTCTGCTGGAGCTGAGGGTGGCCGTGGGGCTGATGCCACCCCTGATGGGGCGGCGGAATCTGCTGCTGCGAATTCCAAGCTGGATTCTGCCACGAAGGCATTTGTTGCTGATACCCCTGCGGGGGGCGTTCAGTCGTCAACGGCGACATTTTCCGGCTCTCGACCCCCTTCCCCACGGGGACGATTGGATTCGATGAATCACCCGCATTTCGATCCTGATACACGTGGAGCTTGTTTGTGTCCAGGTCCAATATAGCAGCCGAATCCTCGTTCTCGGCCTGCTCGTCGTGCTTATTCACGCCCCAGTTCCCGCCATTACCTTGGTAATAATGCCCGCTACCGAATCTCTGCTGCTGAGAGTAGATATTCGGATGCGAATACTGCTGGAACTGGCCGCCGGGATACTCGGGCGGAGGGAGGCGGGAATAGGCGGAGCCAGGCGGCGATGACGTCACCCGAGTTGGCGGGAAACCGTGCTGCCCTTGATCCGCATCTCCTTGAACCGAAGGGGACTTGACAGCGGCAGAGCCATCCTTCCCCGCCCGTGGGGGATGGGAAGGCGCCGGGGACGTGCTCGTGTCCTCGCCCATGTTGTTGTTGTCGTCCTCGGACGGAATCGGGCCGGACTGCTTGGCCCAGAGCGCGAGGAGGTTCTCCTTGTGGTACTGCCGGTGGACGTGGAGGGAGGTGGCGCTGTCGAAGTACAGCTCGCAGGATGCGCAGTGGTACGGCCTGGGCGCGGGCGTCGGCGCGGCCATCACCTCACTCCGACTCCAGCCATCACTGCACACGAAAATGGTCACGACGTTTTAGAATGGCGAATATCTCGTCGACGGAAAAAATTTTGCGTTGTAAAGATCTTTATCAGTAATAGGGCTATAGGCGTTGACTAATGCAGGACAGATTGCTGGGTGAAGCCAGTTTCTCCATCGAGACGTCCCCGAGGCGCTTTATAATGTCCTGCTTTTCTGACCATGAGCATACATTAGAAAAGAGAGAAGAAATCGTGCCTGTCGGCCATTTAAGCACAATCACGAACTGCAATAATCTGATTTCCCCTTTGAAGCCAAATGATCAGTCGCAAGTGAGCAAGGGGGAAAATTCGGATACGATTATAAAGATCTATTGGGAAAGGTGGATTTTTGTAAATTGTAAAATCCGGCATCGATCCGGCCTTCATCCCCCCCCGGATCATAAAGGTCCTGGTCCGCCGCTGCTCGAGCCATTCAAAGGCGCCTGGAATGATGGCCAAGGGACTTTCCGCATGGCATGAAAGGATAATGAGGAGGAGGGAAGGAGGCCCTTCCAATCTCTGGGGGCAAAAAGGCCTTGAAGGGATCCGCGATTGTCAACCCCATCGATTGTCTCTGGCAATCATAATCGCTGCCAGGTGACGGTCATGACAAAAAATGAGAGAAAAAATGGGAGAAAAAAAAAAAAGTGAGATAAATGAGGGAAAAAATTCGCAGCTGACTGACGTTCGGTTCCATCTGCATCTTCATCTCGGTTCCATCTCCATCTCATACACTTTGCATCGCAGAAGGTCGAGGATGGAGAAATAGCTCTAAATAGCTCCTTCGGCTTATAAATAGCAGCCAATCGGGGCCGAGGGAATGCATGAGGAGGAGAAACATGAGCAGGAAATGCATGAGCAGAAAATCCTGCATGAAATTTCGTTTCATCTCGTCCTTTAATATTTTAGGAGTGTCTTCCAGGAGTTTCCGAGGCGCATCCGGGGCAATTCCTCAGAACATCCAGGGCAATTCCGGGGCAATTCTCCCCAGAGCCCATATCTCATGAATTTTTTTCTCCCTCGAATAAAAAGAGTCGCATCCAATCCCGCGGATGGTCTGTCTTTTTCTCCCACCCCTCATTTTTCATTTCTGGGTCAAATCCAGGGTTTTTCCTTCATTTTTCCTTCATTTTTTTCCGGGGGGGAAAAAGGAAAGGAAGGAAGGAATGAAACACGCTCGGCTGCTCTTGAGGGATTTTCTGCTCCGTCGATGACATTTGCATGGCCCTCCGACGTTTCATTCAATCTCCAAAGTGAATTATGCCCGGGCAATCTCGCCCCCCCCTGTCCCCCCTTCGCCCCCCCCCCCTGCCATGTTTATTTATTGCGTCTCGTTCGCCAGCTGGGTTTTCGACGGAGGAAATGTCGCATAAAAATCGGGGACAAAAGAGGATCGGGGCCCTTCTTGCTTTTCAGCTCCGGATAATGTATCTCTTTTTATTTTTATTATTATTCTTATTATTATTTTTACGAGGGATGAGAAATGCTTCCTCCCCTTTCGTGGGGACAGGTGCTCCTGGGAGGGAAAAAAAAAATTAAAATAAATACGTATAAAATAAATAAATAAAAAATCGGGGTCGGTAATGCCTCGGATGGGTTTCACAGCTGATCGACTCGAAGAATGACGTAATTGGCCCGGATCCAGCTGGATCCGAGCGAATAAAAAAAAATTGCCAGAAAAAAAGGAGGAAAAAAAGAAAACGAACAAATTACGAGAATAATAAAATGGGAAGGAAATATAATAAAATGAGGAAAAAGTAAAATGAATATAAATAGATTTTAAAAATACCATAAATAGGAAAAGGAAGTGTATGGGGGGGAAAAATGAATAAGGTGTTTTCGATAAAACGGTGTGAGAAAACCGAGCTGAATAGTTCATCAGCCGGGCATTGACGGGAATCCCCGCTTGACAGGTGCTTGAAAACCCCCAAAAATACGCATTGAAAAAGGGGAGGGGAACCTTTTGACCTTGATCCAGGCCACCGACCTTCCTGGAAGGAACGAGGAGGACGGGAGAGAGAGAGAGAGAAAGCAACATAAAATCGCTGATTAGGATTTAATGGCACATTTTCCCCCGAGCCGAGGCAGAAATCTCTGCCAAGCTGGCATTTACAGGGTAGTAAACAGAAAAAGCCTCGTAGTTCTTCCTTCTCGGTCCTTCCTCCATGTCCTTCCTCGGCTCTTCCTTGGTTCTTCCTCTCGGGCCGCTCCTCTTTTTTTTTTTCCACCCGGCTGCATTTCACGACGGAATCCGCGAATCGATCGAAAAAGGAAAAGTTATATATGTAATCCCATACATAAATTCATGGGCAAACACTCGGGATTCTTTCCCTTCGTGGACGGAATCCGCATCGGGGATTTTCTATATCGTTTCCCTTTTTTTTTCCTTATCTCGTTGGCGGGGGGGGGGGGCAGAAATTAAGGAAACGGGTCCCAATCTGAGGGAATGGGCCCTGGATGAGCCTTATCTCCGAGGAGCCCCGAAATGGCTGCATCTCGGGCACACACACACACACATATATATACTCACATGGGCCATTATGGAGATGCTGTGATGACGTCATCGCCCGCACAGCGCGGATCGATGTTTTCAATCTTGGACATTGGCAGGGGATGAGATGCTCTGTCGGTCGGACGGGGATGAAAAGACTTCTTTTCCCCCCCTCCTCCTTCATTCCTTCTCTACTCTCTATCACGACATGAATGCGAAATGAACGGCTTCTTCGAGAGCTGAATCTCCCGATTTCCTTTCTTCGATGGAATCGGACCGCCTCTTTCTCGTATCGCGTGTGCGTTTAGCGGGAGTGTGTCGTATTTCCGGCGGAGATACGAGCGAGAAAAATGTTATCGGAGACGGGGATCTGGTGAGAAAAGAATGCGGGGTCGCCGGGCGGCTTTGTGCAGGACGAGGTCGAGGTCAAAGACCCGAGATTCGAACTCGCCCCGGGGCGCATGCCTCACCTCCGACCTCGACTTCCTGAAACTATGCGAATCGAATATGCACACCGGCCGGGAGGAGCATGTCTCTCCTCCGACTTACTGAGACAATCCGGATCGAATGTGCACGCCAGCTCGGTGGTGCATGCCTCACCTCCGACCTCGACTTACTAAACAATGTAAATCGAATATGCACACCAACTCGGTGGCGCATGCCTCACCTCCGACCTCCCCTATCTGAAACAATTTGAATCGAATATACAAACCAGCCTGGAGGCGCCGCCATGATGGCGGCTGTGCGAGTTGATGGTCGCGGCTCCGTCATAGGGCTAGGCCTAATTCTCCTGCGCCTAATCTTTTCCAGATCCAGACTCAGCCGAGCTTACTCCTCTGCATACGTGTCGGGTAACACGTGTTGTAAAATGAGAATGACCAGGCTAAATGAGTCACAGTGACGATAAAAACAAAAGACGTTTGAGCCCTGGCTGCGATCCCAAGGCAAAACACACAGAGACCAGAAGCCCCCGTTCATCTATGTCGTCGAAGCATGCAGACGATTTCTCACATTCCTTCTAGTTCCGTCCCTATCAATAACACCCACCTGCATGCATCAACGTCCTTAGGCCTACCCGAGACTTCTCTCTTTTCGGAGCAAGTGGTGCATGAAGGAAGCTCTCAAACTTTGGGCTATATCTTCCGAGCCCAGCTGCCATATATCCCTTTCATGCACCCATGCATCCACCTTCTCCTTCGCTCCCCCATAAATAATCGTCTCCAAGAGGAAAAAAAAAAAAAGAAAAAGGTTAGCAAGTCACTATTTTTCGCCTCCCTTTCTGCTGTTGAAAAAAGACCCTTGGAACCTGTTTCCACTGCGATTACTCTCTATTCGAGACGCACTTCCACGATGGGACCAGCCAACGCGGATGTGATCTCCTTTTAACGACTTCTATCCTTGTGTAACGATGTTGTACAAGGAAACATCGTCTCGTCGAGGAAGAAAGGACGCTGGGAGAGAAAGAAGAAAAATTCCATCAGCGCTTTTATCGCTCGTAAACGTAAAACGAGAGATTGAAACGAGGATTTAGGAGCGATAGCCTAGGTTTTCCTTCTCCTTTTCCTCGGAATAATGAAACCGGGCGGGAATAATGAGCGACTCTCCCCTTTTCCTCCTTCACACGTCCGGAATAAAAGTCAAAAGTGGAGAAGAATAATGGATGAAGTCGTCGTTGTCGCCCCGGCCTTGCAACCCAAGTCACGGCGCGTGTTGCAAGGCACGTGCAACGGATCACGGAACGGGCAAAAGGGCACCGAAGGGAAAGCAAGCAAGGTCATCTCGAGTCGGGATTTTCAAGGACTGGGAGGGAAAAGTATTTCGTGTCCTCTTTATGCAGATTTCCCAGCGAGATTTGCTTCCTTCCTTCGTCCTGATTTATGTGGAATGCAGGCCGTGAATTTCGGGATTGGGAGGCGATAGAAGAGAAGACAAATGCGTGTCGTTAGTCTTTTTCAGGCCTCGGGCCTTCCTCTCTCTCTCGATTCCGCATCGAAGAAGGAAGGCAAAAGCTCGGACTAATCTATCCACGCCGGGTCGGCCCGAATCGAATGCGAAATGAACACGAAAGAAAAAAAAGGTGCCACGATGATGATGACGCAATCGCATGAAAGAGAGAATGAAAAAAAGCCGTGCCTGGAAGGCACAAAGGAGAAAACCGAGGAACAATAGAAAACAGAACACACGAACACATGCACGCAGCCATGCAAATATGCAAGACCGGGGATATAAATCAATCCGTGCAGGCCTCAATCGATGGCAAGGCAAAGGAGAAGGGACAGAGCCGCAATCTCGATCCCAGCAATCAAATATTCATCAGGGATATTCCCACACCGTTCGGAACCATTAGGAACCCCCGATGCGTTCGTGTCGGAGAGTCATCAAAGACGGAATGCCACGCCATGCATTCGTTTCTCTTGTCGTTCTTTAATCACAGAAAGAGAAAGGGAGAGAGCATATTTTCCCTATTCAATGAA